ATGCTCTCCTTTGTCTCCGAATCTCTCGCTTTCCCTTATCCGTCCAGGTCTCTGACTTCTCTGTCTCTCTGTCTCTCTGTCTCTTAGTAACTCAACCCCCGACCAAAGCGTTAAGGTGCTCAAAGCATCAGATTGGCAAAAAGCAGGGCAGGGATGGATGGGTCTAGAGGGCTCCTCGGGGCTCCGTGTTCACTCCACATGGGCCATGGCGTATTTATTCCAAGAGGCTCTGCCCATCTCAGTACTGACCGCGTGTGTGTCCTGGGTCATCTCCACCTGAAGGCCATTCCCTCAGAATGTGTCAGGCCCAGCCAGATGTAGTTGGCCTGAACCTGTAATCCTTCAAAGCCACATAAAGCTAGAACACAACCTCAGTGTACCCCACCCCCACACTGAGCCCCCTCCACTCTGCCCCTCCCCCAGCCAAACGGCACACAAGGCGGGGAGCAAAGGGACAGACCCCTCTCTCTGCTGCTCAGAATCCACTTCGAACAACTCTTCACTTTCTCATCTTTTCCTGTTCTCATCTTTTACTCTCCTGTTCAGCTCTCTAATCAGGACAGGAGAAAAAAAAGAACCAAAAATGTGAGCGATGGTTCGTGGGTCTGTCTAGAAAGCAAGGTAGCGTTTATATTAAAAAAGAAAGAAAAAAACTACCACAAAACTCTCGGTTAAGGAAAGTACTGTGCTTCTTTCGTGAGTACGTTCCATCTGGAATTATCTCTTTTTTTGTGGTTGAAAGAGTTTTGAGAGCAGAAGAATCTTTTAATTTGTTTTTCTTCTGAGTCTTCTGCTCACTTCCAGCAGCTAGGTTTCTCAAGCTTTTAATAATTAGATTCAAAATAAGTCCTATAAATCAATATTCATTTGAATTTTGTTGATTAGCACTAATATCCTTGCTGATCAGGGTACGAGGAAAAAAAAAAGGCTTTATTTCAAATCTCTGTGTTTTTGTCCAGTCCTGCTACCTGAGCATGATTCGTTTTTAAATAAAAGGAAAATAATACTTTGCAACATATAAAAGTCATAGGAAATTCAAGTTTTAGTGTTCATAAAGTTTTACTGGAACAGACACACATGCGTGCGCGTGCACACACACCGCACGCACACCGCACACACACACACCTCTGCAACCTTTGCGGAGCTCAACTCTGCTTTCCTTTTCTTTCACAAAATTGAAAGAATAGTAGCCCCTGCTTCTAACAGTTGTTTGGAGCCATAAATGAGCAAATGAGAATGACAAGCTTAGAAGAGTGCCTGCCCGTGTTTACGGTGAACACGCTATAAATGTTGTCCCATTGCAGTTGTCATCTTTCCTACAGGTGGACCTTCAAGGGATCAAAGCAAAGTTCCAAGAGAAGTATCAGAAGTCTCTCTCTGACATGGTTCGCTCGGACACCTCTGGAGACTTCCAGAGATTGCTGGTGGCCCTCTTGCACTGAACAAGCCAGAGAGGAAGGAGAACAAGGGAGGAATCACCTTTGCCGAGAGCCCATTCCAAACCAGATTTGCAAATGCAACTCCAGCACAAAAAAACCTTCAAGAGTCCTGGTTTATTTTCTTGGCAGCTTGAGTAGTGCTGCCAGGCCAGGCTGTTTAAGTCAAACACTGTGGCCTCAAGACGCTTGGGCAGGTCACTTGAATGCTGGCTTAGCAAGTATCTAGGCTGCCTCTTAACTTTCTTTTAGTGTGGTGACTAAATGCTTTCTAAGCACAACGGAAATCAGTAGTTGATGAAAAACCATTTAGAAGAATATGTATTGAATAGGGTGTGTATGTTCTAGGTAAAGATTAAATGGTTAAGATACGGGGAAGACAAAATTGACTAATTCATTAGTTTTCCTTCTGTTATTCAATTTCAAAGCCTCCATGTTAATTAAAGTTGTGGATTATGCCTCCATCAGATGCTTTTCCAAAGACTGGGTTGATTAGTTTTGGCTCTTGTCCTGGAAATATATGACTCGTAAAATTCAAATATATTTGGGAAATGCAAAGTTATATTTAGTAATAATCATCAAGGACAGTAATCAAGGTCAACGGCAAGGGAACAACTGACTTGTCTATGAAAATATGACCAGAGGAAAAATTCACTAATCTGTTACCTGCTTAAGATGGTTTTTCTTCCTTCTGTAGACATTTGACCCACCTAAGTCTTCCATCTGGTCTTTAAATACAATTAGGCTGGGCACAGGGCCAATAGGATCAGGGTCAATGGTCTGATTCAAATGGATTGGTTTTGCACCAGTAGAATCTCTCTTCCAAGATGTTTGTCTCATAGCCACATGTTGCTAGACACAGAAGGATCTGTCAAGAGAACATGTACACTTTGGTCCAATAATTACAGTTATCGCTCATTGGATGCTTATTTGTGTTTGGCATTGCTAAGTAGCATATTTTTGTATTTAACCTTCCCAACAGTCCTACGAGGTTAATATTACTCCAATTTATCGGCTGAGGAAACTGAGACATTAAGGAACCTGGCTAAACTCATTTGCAAGTGATAGAATTAATATTTGAATGCGAGGCTGGTTGACTCCGGAAATCATACAGCTAACCACTTTTCTTGGAAAAATTACTGAAAGTATGTGGTAATGGGTCTGTACTCATTCACCTACTTAACGCCTTCCTATCTGTCAATCTCTGTGCTGGGCTCTGGGGATACAAAGATAAGTCGAACACCGGTTACACCTTGGACAGTTCATTTCTGGGCAGTTCATATAGACAGATACCTCCAATATGCAACAGAATGCTTTAAGAGCAAGAATTCGAGCATGTGAAACACTCTCCCCGTGAACAAGGAGAGGGAGCATGTAGCTTTGCCTGGGGGAACTGGGGAATGCTTCATAGAAATACATTTGTGATGGATTTTGAAGGATGCAGAGTAGGTCTTCAGAGAAACAAAGAAAGAAGGGCATGGGCAGAGACTCAGAAGCATAAAGGAGCAGTGAAATACATTCTCCTGGGGCACAGATGAGGTAAAAGGAAGGGGAGGGTTGGGCAGGCAGGGGTCAAGGCTGCTGAAGAGTATGCTTGAATAACACTGGCTATGGTTTTGCCTGCCATACGTGGGCCTAGTCCTTTGGGCAACGGTGGTCACGGAAGATGTGTAAGTGAGTGAGGAACATTTGGGCCTTGGAAAATCACTTTGGAGGTATACGATTACAACGTATAGCAAATAGCTCAAACACTCAGTATAAGAATACATGTCACGGTGTGTCTTTCTAGTGGCTATAAAATAGTGATTGTCAGATTAAGAAGTTATGTTAACATCTTTGTTCTCAACATACTGAGAACATGGCGTGGAGTCTGGCTTCTCCAGCGAGAGACCAAAACAGGTCTCCTCCAGGATGCAAGCAAACTATGTCTCAGACCACATTAGAGTCAATAAAAATGCCACAGATAAGCCCCCAGAAACTAGAAAAGCCAAGAAATAAGGGTGCCCAGAAAACCAGAAATGATATTTGGCTCATCATACCAATAAGCAAGAGCTGCCATGTTGAATTCAAGGCTGCCCTGAATTCAAGAAGTCAAGGCTGCCTGTTTATGCCACCGCAATTTCTGGCATGACCAGTATGTTGAGAGACATAGGGTCAGGAGAAAGAAAATAAATGGCCAGGGAGGATTTTTCAAAATAAACTTCTTTTGTTGTTGTTTTATTTCTGTAAAATTTAGGTACAGAAAAGTGATTATATTACATAGAGTTCCCCTATAACCCACTCCCAGTTTCCCATAGCACTAATGTTATAATATATGGTACATTTGTCACAATTTATGAACTAATGCTAATGGATTATAATTGAATAAAGCCCACACTTTACTCATATTTCCTTAGTTTTTACCTAATGTCATTTTTCTCTTCCAGGTTACCATGAGACTATCATATTACATTTAGTTGTTAAGTCTCTTTAGGCTCCTGTAGACTGTGACAGTTCCTCAGACTTTCCCTGTTTTCATTGACCTTGACAGTTTTGAGGATTACTGGGCAGGTATTTTGTAGCATGTCCTTCGATTTGGGTCTGTCTGATGTTTTTCCAATGGTTAGACTGAGGTTATAGGTTTGGAGGAGGAAGATCACAGAGGTAAAGTGCCATTCCCATCACAACATATCAAGGGTACAAGCTGTCGCCATGACCTATCACTGTCAATGTCAATGTTAATCACCTAACTCATGTCGTGTTTGTCAGGTATCCCCACTGTGTTCATTAAAAGGAAGTCACTGCTTATGGCCCACACTTAAGGGGTAGGGAGTTATGGTCCACCTCCTTGAGTGGAGAATTCTACATAAATTATTTGGGATTCTCCTATCTAGGAGGTCTGCCTGTTCTCCCATTATTTATTTATTCAATAATTTATTTATATTAGTATAGACTTAAGAATATTCACTTGGTACTTTGGGTTATACTCCAATACTATATTATTTATTTTGTTGCTCAAATTGTTCCAGCTTTGTCTGTTGGGGGCTCTCTCTGTTGGCTCTTGTGTCCCTTTGACATATCCCTTCACTTTTCTCTTGAGGACTTCATTAATTTCTGGCAATACAAGATGCTCCAGGCTCATCTTGCATAGTCTCTGCCCAAGTCCTAGAATCTTCCATTTTTCCAAAGAGCGCTGGTTTCTTTTATTGGATACTGGCATTACAAAACAAGTTCTGGGCTCTGGTGTGCCCATTGCTGTCAGGGTGTCATTGTTTCTGGGTCCACTCAGCGGACAGAGCTAGGAAATACAATTGTGTATACTAAGCCACATATACACACGTATCTATAATTATTTATACATATATAGACATAGGTGTAGACAAAGATATAGATATAGGTATAGACACAGACATAGGTCCATCTGAATCTATATTGAGTTAGACATGAGTTCATACAATGTCTTCAACTTTCATCCAATACCACATGGTTCATGTAGAAGGGGTATTTTGACTTCTTGAAAATTGCACAAGGAGACAAGATAATGGAAGAGTAGCTCCTAGAAAAAGGAGCCATGGGAAGAATCAAAGGAACCACACAGTGCCCTGCATGTGCCACTACTTATATTTCCATTTTGGGTGGCCCAGGTCTAGGGAGAAAGGGCAGGCCATGGCTGAGTGGTCCTCATACCTCCACTACCCAGTACCCAAGGAATTAATCTTAAGTTTCGAAAAGAATGCTTCCTGGTTTCTGTGTGACTAAACCAGAAATACTGATGTCTCCTGTTCCTAAGGTAACCAACCAACTTTCAATGAGCTCAAATGTATTCAGCTAACATAGATACCAAGCAAAGGAAAGAGAAAGAAAGACCACCTTCAGCGTCAGACCCAAGATGGTGGGTTTTCGTGTCAGTCTCTTCCTGCTAATGATTTTTGGTCCCCAATAACTGCCACTTCAGGATTGCTTAGAACAAGGAAGTCTCAGGACAAAAGAGGCCTGAGGTATTTTTAAACCCTGAGCTAGAAGGAAAAAAACACTGGTTTTGAATCATTTCTCACTATGAGTAATGTGGACCCAGATAATATGACTCACAATCCAAAATGGACACACTAATTGACTGAACTCTGAACCCAACCCAACCCAAGTATACATTTTTATTTTTATTTTTTTTACTGAAAACAAAATCAAAGTTGTTTTTAAAATCCTGCTGACCCAGTCCAAATTAGAACCAGTCTTTGAAAAAGATTGGGTCAGAAGTAAAAAGAATCAGAAAAGAAAAATCATTTCTACACAAATATTTCATTCACTTCAAGTGACTTGCACTTATAAATATGTACTGTATGTGCATTTCTACCAGTAGAACCTCTTTTAATCGAATCTCACTTAACCTACTTGCCAGATCAACCACACACCCTATTCTCCCTACAGAGTCTATGGGTTGATATCCTAGATGCTCTGAAGGCTGGCAGCTGGTGGGGGACTGGGTAGGAAGCCCTCTCTCTTCTGATGGAGCATGTGTTTTGCAAGAGTGCATTGCATTTATTCCCAAATCTGTTTATACCTATTGTGCTCACTATTGTAATTACATAATTGAATTAAACATTAAACAAGCTAATTAACCAGAAGTGCGAAAAGAAAGACTTCTTGTTTCTATGAAAGCTACGTTGAATGTCCTAGAAACACTAGATAGAGGTGTGTTGAATTTAAAATAAAAAGAATAAATGACAATACTGAATGCCTGTCAGTGGCTCATTTGCAAAGAAAAGTTCCAGAAACCAATATACATTTGAATGCTTTATATGAAAAATAAAATGAAGTTATGTACATTTTATTGCATGATTCTCTACTTTCAGCTTTAAAAAAATGGCTAATTGCCCTTTTCAAGTACGTCAGACAAGAGGGTTTCCACTATATACACATTTTTTTTTTTCTCCTGAAACACTAATTTGTCTACGATGATCACACAGGCATTTCTTCTGGCCGAAGATCTCCAAGGCAGCACCGCTACCTTCTGCATCTCCTGATACCTAACCTTCTGTGCAGTGATTAAGAGCAGGGGCCGAGGAGAGAAAAAGATCAAGGAGATGCTCCTGGCGGCTCCGTTCACAAGGCTGTGTCACTTTGGGAAGCCACCTTGCTCTCCTAAGACTTAGTTTCCTCATCATGTAAAATGGGCTGATAATAATTCAGAAACTACTTTACTTAGGGACCAAAAGCAAAAGGGCCTTCGTTGATGAGAACAATACCCCATCTAGGACAAATGGGGCAACTCTGCCTGCTAACAAGAGATGTTTTTAGAAGTCACCTATTCAGTGTCATTTTGAGCTTACCAAAACAACAGCAACAGCAGCTATGTTTATGTGTAAGTAAAGTATTTATTTGTACCAACCTCGTAGGATCTCGGTGCCATTTAAATGAGAAATCCTTAGCACTGTACCCTACTAGACTAGTTGGGTACTCTACCCTGACTAGAATAGTTGTTTTTAAACTC